ACACCCTTTTGTCATTAATTGTAATAATCCAGTGGGATTTTTGTATGCAGAAGGAGTCTGACAACAGCTAGTGCTCCACACAGAGATCTGATCTCACCATCATCCAGTCTGTCTGGAAATATATGAAGAAACAGAAAAACACAGAGACAGACTAAATCCAGAAGAGCTGTGGCAATGTCTCCAAGGTCCTTGAAGAAACCTTCCTGCAAAGCTACAATACTGTGGAAAGTTGTAGGCACTTGTGTAAAAATGCTGTAAATTGAGGATAAATAGATTTGATTTATTAACTTCAATTAACTAAATCAAATCAACATTTGGTGCGACCACACGTTGCATTTAAAACAGTCCTTGGTACACTTGCGTATAGTTTTTCAGATTGGTATGTAAGTTCCTTCAAGTGTCTTGGAGACATTGCTCCAAGTTTACAGCACTTCTGGATTTAGTCTGTCTCAGTTTGTTCTGTTTCTTCATATAATTCATGACGGACTGGATGATGGAAATCAGAGATCAGATCTCTGTGTGGAGCACTGGCTGTTGTCAGACATACAAAAATCTTACTGGTTTATTACAATTAATGGCAAAAGAAATGCTTGGAAATGTAAACTGATATTTCCTACAAGGCCTAAGACTTTTGCACAATAGTGTATATACATTTTTTGTATTTGTTGTATTGTTTTTTTTTTTGACCCAAAAAACCCCAGTAATATTGTTTCAGTTAGACTGAAATATTATTTCAAGGTACAATGATTGTTTTCTATTTTGTTTCAAATGTCATTCAAATGTCATTTATTCCTGTGATGACGAAGCAGAAACTAAAGCTTGTGCTGCTTAATATTTTTGTGGAAATGGTGATACATTTTCTTCAGGATTCTTAGATGAATATAAAGTTATTTGAAATAGTTAAAAATGTTACTTTGTTACAAACAATTCTGTCATTTTGACAAAAAGTGTATGTAAGTGCAATAGTGCACGTGTGTAGTACTTAAAGAACTAAAATAACTCAAACTGAATAAACTAAAATGAATTTAAAACCTAGAAAAACTAGGCAAATAAAAAAGGAAAAGGAAAATGAAAACTTAAATGGAAAATTAAAGTGAAAATACAAATATTAAAACAAAAAATGTAATTAAAAGATTAACAGACACTATAATAGTATATCAATGATGCTAAAATAACACTGATTTCAATTACCAAAGTGTGTGTGTGTGTGTGTGTGTGTGTGTGTGCGAGTGCGAGTGCCTAACTTGAAGTACTAAAATAAGTAAAGCTAAAATTAATTTTAAACAATATTTTGGGGACAAATTTGTTTAAAAATGTTTTTTTTTTTTTTTTAAGTTTTCTGTGAGGGTAGGGTGTGGGTTAGGATTAGCTTATAAGATCTATAACTTTTAAAAACAACAGAAGTCTATGCAATGTCCCCATTTAGCTAAACAAACGTGTGTGTGTTCTATTTTTTATTTTATCTGTGGCCTAATGTCATCCTCTGGAGGGAAACCTAGCTTATGAAATATTTCATGATTGTCTCCTTACATGACATACCTGCAGTGCTAATTTGATGATCTAACGTGGCCTTTGGTTTCAGTCGATGGCCTCGGTGGCACACACTGGACAGAGAATGTGGAATGGATGGTGAGAATCAGCTCAAGGCTATTGCCTCATAGCTCACAGTGGAGGACATCAGCCCAGAGCTTACAGCATTGCAGACGGTAAACTCTGGATTCAGCCCTGGCAGATCATTTCACAGACCATTTCTTACAGCCCGTCACCGCTCACACAGCCAGCATATTCCTTTACTCTGCTAATAAAAAAGGCTTTTGGTGCATTAAAAACAATGGCTTTGATAAATCGCAATAACTCCCAGACTCAACAACCTCTCCGCTTTCCCCTCTTCCAGGTTCTTCAGCAGTTTCATGTCCTTTTTGGCTTTCGGCCTCATTTTTGTCGTTTCAGCTTGTGATCCGAAAATCAGTACTCAGCTGATGTTTGGAGTTGATGCTAATAATGTGTGATGAATGTGTATTAGGTTCACATATTTCATCTTTTATAGAACTACATCTCATTAGAGGAAGGATGTGCACAGAATAAATGTAACAAAGATGTAGCAAGCAGCCACTAGTGATTACAGAGGAAGCAGAGTGCATTGATTCCCCAAGTTCAGCCAGTGCTGGAAGGTTTTGCATTGATAAAAGACAGTGATCTTCAGCAGGTGGTCTGTCAATTATTATTGTGTGAAAAGCGAAAATATGCATTTAACAAAAATATATTAAAATATAGATCAGACTTAAAATGCAACACTTCAGTTATCAGTGTATTTTAGTATTATTTATATACTATTACAATATGTATGTATGTATTAATATTTTGAATTAGCCTTTATTTGTATATTTGAATTTTTTAAAAAATTAATGTTTAAATATTTCTATTTACCTTTAGTTTTTTCCCCCCGTTATTTTAATATTTAAGCTTACACTTATTTCAGTTACTTGCCTAGTCAAAGTTTCACATTTTTTCTGTGTGTGTGTGTACTACTCACTACTGTGTGTGTGTGTGCACTTGGATGGGTTAAATGCAGAGCACAAATTCCAACATGGGACACCATACTTGACTACACATCACTTTCATTTTCATTAGGGTTATTATTATAGTTAACTTAAACTAAAAACAAAAAAACTAAACAAAACAAAACCTAGTTGCTAAGACAATATTTCTTATTTTCCTTCATATTTTAACTTGAAGTACTAAAATAAGTAAAGCTAAAATTAATTGTAATAGTATATAGACAAACCATAGAAACTAAAAAAATTTTTTTTTAAAAATGACAAACACAGAAATGACTAAAACTAAAATAAAGTGAAATAAATAAAAAATAAACTATTAAAAAAATTATTTTACTTCAGCTTCAGCAAAGACAACATTTCTAATTTTCCTTTATTTTAACTTGAAGTACTAAAATAACTAAAACTAAATAAACTAAAATGTATTTATAACATACTACTACATAGATAAACTATATAGACAAATGTAAATAATAATAATAAAAATGATTATAAACTATTCTAAAATAAAGCAAAAACTTTTTTTTTAAGTAATTCAAAATATTTACAAAAACTATATTAGTATATCAATGATACCAAGACTGAATTCAATAACCAAAAACGATTTTTAATAGTTTTAGTAATACATTCTAGTTAACAATAACAACACTAATAAATAAGACCCCTGAAAAAGTAACGTTTTCCATCCTATTTTCTGTTGCATAGGGATTTCTTGTGATGCTTGACAAAGTGGTCTTCTCCTTAAACACGGAGGTGGGCTTGCTCATCTTCCTCATGATGAGAACCTCCAGATCTGAGCGCTTCAAGTGAGCTATTATTGCTATCCAGTATATAACACTTTTCACAAAAATACTAAACAGCACGGTTGTTTTTAACATTGATAAAAATCTTGATTGTTTCTTGAATGATTTGTGAAGAATCATGTGACATTGAAACTGCCATCATGTGAAATTTTGTTCATCTATATGCCCATGCATTCTCCTGTTTCAAGGCATCTGACGGTACCTCTGGCGGAGAGCAAGAGACTCTTCAAGCTCCACTGGCTGCTGCCCATCTACTTCCTGTTCGCCGTGGCTTATGACGTCTTCCAGAGCATCCTAGAGATCACTGAGAACATGTCGCTCGTCCTCTACACCAATTCTTCTCTTGGATGAGAGAGCTGAGAGATATCAGATGGGGCAACCTATGCTGCTGAGATCCCTCAGGAACGGACCGTTATTACCTCACACTGTGCCAGTGACCCAAACCGAACACACACAGCACAGATAATGTGTCCACTACTCCGGAGGATACACACACTGATCACAGAACCAGCCTGAGGCGGTCCTTCACCCGCAATACTGCCCCAGTATAAAGCATGTGACACAAAAGATTTATAGATGTTCTTTGGGCAAAAAGGCCCCTCGTTCACGCTTATTTTTATATCCCCCCACTTCATTTTCATCCAGTAAATTGCATGTGCTCTCAGTGAGCTAGGAAAACATATTTTGATTTCCTCAACAATGCCCAGTGATTAAATATGCAGTCGTGCCATCAAACCATAGCAACGTTTCTAGAAAAGCTGCAACAAAGTTATTTAAGGTAATCATGGGCTATTATTGCTGTCCAGGATATAATTTGTGATTTAATGAGCAGGCTGGAGTGCTTTGACAAGGAATAAACCACAAGACAACAGAATAAAATATAGTGATTTGATTCAAGAGGTGTGAGATGCTTATGTGTGTATAGATCACGATAGTGATAGTTATAGATAGTTTATAGATAGTATAGATAGTTTATTTATTCACTTTTCTGCTCTGTTTTTAAAACTGCATTGATATAATGTAATAAAAGATTAAAGGTGCTTTCTTGGCAAGATTACTTCCATTAAACTATAGCTTATTATTGAAAAAGTTCAACCAAAATAGGAATTCTGTATGCTGCTCAAAAGCTTTTTTTTTTTGAAAGAAATAATTTTATTCAGCAAGGATGCATTAAATTGATGATTTAAAAGTGACAGTAAAGACATTTAAAATGTTTTATTTAAGATTAAGATTTTATTTAAAATAAATGCTGTTATTTTGAACTTTCTATTCATCAAAGAATCCTGAAAAAAATGTATGCTTTTCACATAAATATTAAGCAGCAACTCTTTTCAACATTGATAATAATAAAATATATGTATATATAAATATATTTGTGTGTGTGTATATATATATATATAAATATTTTTTTTTGCAGCCTTGATGAACATGGGACTTCTTTCAAAAACATTTTAAAAAGTCTTACCAAACTCAAGCTTAGAAGAAAAGTTTGTTTTGGGGGGTTGGGTGGAGGTGAAATATCCTTTAGTCTAAGTATTCTGATTCAATTAGAAGTAACTGTACCTGTTTAGTAACTTTGAAGGTTAATTTGCACCATCACTTCCTATCAAATAGTTAAATTAGGAGAATAAAAACACAGCCGTAATATCAAAATATACTTTATTTTGGACTCCAGATCTGATTCAAATGACAACAGATCAATGCAATGCAGGGGGAATTTTTGCAACCAAAAACATTTGACTGGGGAAACAAAGATCAGGTGTGGGGACATCTGAGAACTCAGAGTGAGCAAAACTGAGGTCTAAGCTGTACACCCTCAAACCGACCTCCAGTAGTTTGTTGGGGTTTTCTTTTCTTTTTCTCTCTCTCTTTTTTGCTTATTTCTTTAGTCTTTTTTTATAGCTACAAAGAAATATGAATTACAAAAGTTTTAAAAGAATACAAAAAGTCCAGGAGCCACCGATGCAGTAAGAATAATTAGAAATGACGCTGAAGAACTGAAGGTTGCTGTGGGCAGGCAGACGCTGGGGCGATTACAGAGAAGAGCAAAGGGGAGACTCAAACACCCTTCTGTTGTCGTAGGCTGTAATAAATAGTGTTCAGATGGGTTTTACACACCTCAAAATACAACACCCTTGTTTAAAAATATCTTTGTGAGGGACTAAAACAGAGATTCAGAGCCTCTATCACGGAACAGAGAACTTTGTATTCTTGGGGTCTGACTTTTTTTCCCCCTTGATGGTCGAGGCATTGAAAAGCTTCACTGTCTAAACACTGAGAAAAACCAAAGCACATTATTATAGACTCTCCTCATGCAGCCGATTACTGTAAATGAACATCAGCATCTCATTACATGACAGTGCAGAGAATCCCAAAAATGACATTTTATTTTCAAAAGCATCAAAATGATGTCTTTCAGATATTTGTTCAATGTTCTGTGCAACAGACTTGCTTTAGGCTTTGGGTTCTCCAACAAAAACATGCCGCAATTTTATTTTTAACGTACTGTGTAATAGATTTTTTAACGGCTGGAACTGAAAGACAAAATGAATTGCATAAATAATCCAATTATTAAAACTAAGTACAAAAGTATGAAAAATAAGCTGATGGGTTTCACTCAAAATATTGCAAACCTAAAGCAAGTCTTTCTGTTTTCAATCTACATGTATGTCAAACGGTCCTCAGTAGCTCAAACGCCACATCTCGAACTGAGGAACAGAATTGTATGTGTTGATTTTAAGGGGAACATCTACCAACTAAATACAGTAGTATGAGCAAACAAATGCATTTCCTGTAGATGTGCGTGCCTTTTTTTTTTTTTTGTGGTTAATGTACCTCTCATTTAGGGGAGAAACAGGGTACAAGGGGGGAAGGGGAGATTACAGTTACACCATAGCATAAAAACTAAAACCGAAGAACAAGAAAAAGATTGCATTTTTTTTTCTCATGTCCCCACACTGTTGAAATCACAAAACATCCAGTACCAAAAAGACTAAAAATCTGTACTTGTGTCAAATGGAGGAAAACATGAGTCCTGGAATCATGCAGCTGTGACGTCAAATCAAATGTGCAAAAGAAAGAGGGAGGGGGAGGGTCAAAGAAAACGATATGTCTGCACACTGAAACGGAAACTACCAACAAAGATTAAAATCCTTTCGTTCGTTTATTTTGATGAGATTTTGAAGAACAAATAGTAAAATATCTTCCAAATTTGGTACATATACCAATCCTCTTGTCTGTCTTCTTCCTCTGTTATATTGTTTTTTTTTCCCCCACCTTACAAAAGTCATTTGAATGTCTCTGGTTGGAATCACATCCTCTCCGCTCAGCCTGTGGCGTCAGGGTGCTTGTGTTTGTTTGTCTGTAGTGGCTGGCCATGGTTCACTAGGGACTGTAGCAGTTTGAGGGTCAGGGACAGTCATTTTGGCTATGTACACATTCATAGTCGGTCCATGGCTTCCAGCAAGCAGCGCTATTTCCGCAGATCTAATACACAAACCTACAATGAAAGCACAAAAATATTTAATATAGGCATCACCATATATCCATTACCTTTATTTGAGGTGCAGAGTACTAAACTTGTACTTACAGAGCCATCCGACGCACTTGCTCCTACTTTGTCCCCTGCTGCATTCCAGCAAACTTCAAAAATGCCCCCTGTCCCCCTGTAGCTATGGACTAAAGCACCAGTCTGTGGAAATGACAGTGACAAAAGAGTTCAGCTCGGGCTGCATTTTGGCATTCTCTGGATGGGATGAATCGGAGGACCTCCAGTCTTACCTGTGTGTTCCAGATGTGGACACATTTGTCAAAAGAGCCGCTGGCTAGATGGCGTCCGTCAGGGCTGAAGGCCACGCTGTACACGGGCTCCTGGTGTTTGGTTAGTGTGTGAATGCAGATGCCTCGATCTACATCCCAAAGCCGAACAGTGGAGTCAAAGGAAGCACTAGAGGTGTCAGAGGAAAAGATAACGATCAATTTGTGTTTAGGTTATAGTTTTATTAAACCGCACACATTTTTATTAGGGATGCAACACAAAAAAAAATACAAAATAAAAAAAATCTGGCCAATACCGATGAGCTATTATTTTAATACCTTCTTAAAATTATTATTTAAAACATTTTATGGCTGATAACTATGGTAGCTTGTATATGCCACGGGATAAAAAATAAAATAAAAAATGTAATTGCGACCAATCTTACAAAGATGCAAACTCACAATTACTTGTAACTGCAAGACATAAACTCACAATTCTATGAAAAAGTCAAATGACAAACAATTGAAAAAAAAAGTCAAAATAATTAAATAATTGTATTGTTACAATCACAATTTGTATTTATTTTGTTTTATTTTTTCATTGCAGAAACAAGCTTTCAAAGATAACTGATCAATGGTAATATAACATTTCTATACCATACAAAGTATAAAACAAAACTAAATAAATCATCTAAATAAAAATGGATATTATATGGCAGCAATATATCACTCATCTCCCCTTTTTTACATTTAACATGCATTAATAGCTTTCCTCCAACTTTCATTAATTTGAAACCTCAAGAGTAAGCCTTTCAAAATGAGTAGATTATATATAATGTAGCCAAAAGGAGTACAGACTGAGTATAGTTTGTTTTTGGTTATTTTGTGGTTCGATAGAATCCCCTTTTAAGTCTGTTTACATCGTGAACATCGGAATTACTGAGGTCACGTAGAGCTGGTTCACTGAACTGGATTTGGTTTCAATTTTAATGTGTACTATAAGTATACTATAAGTGAAATATTTGTGAAAACAGCCTTAATCCATCAGCAGCTGGTGAGAGTGTATTAAAGGATGGTGACTCTACCTGGCCAGCAGTAGATTGGCATTGGGGTTGTTGGTTCCTGGACCTGTGGGACTCCATTTGATAGTATAGATTTCCTTGCTATGAGCTTGCAAATCATGAACACAAGTGTCCTGTTTCATACTCCAGATCTAGGACATTGGAAGAAGCAATTATTTAGACCACCAGAACAGCATTTGCATTATCCAAACACCTGCTGAAATGTGCACCACAGACTTGGTACGAAAATATGACTGAATTGATAAATAGTGTAGCCAGCGTCGTAAGGGGTCGTACCTTAAGAGTCATATCATCAGAACACGACGCCAGCAGGTTACCAGTTGGATCCCATTTGATTGCGTTAACTTCATTCTGGATACAGAGAGAAAGAGTTTGATACTGATCTTTTTGGCAGGTTGGAGCTGTAGGAAACGGGAGGACGAGCAGACAGGTCTTACTGTGTGTCCTTGGAATGTCTTAATGGGTCGGTCCTGGCCTAGTTTGCACACGTGGATGCACATGTCTGTGCTACAGGAAGCAAACGTGTTGTTACTCTGCCAGTCCACGTCTAGAGCGGGTGCTGAAGTGAGAGGGAGAAAAGGCTACAGCATAAGAGCTTTTTCCCTCAAAATAATGGATAATATTATTCAGATATTGTGAACAATTAAGTATTAAGTGGAATTTATGTGAACCTGAATGAAACGGGAACTGCTGTTTGGCTTCCCCTGTGTGAGCATCCCAAATGATTGTTGTCTGAAGAAAAGAAGGAAATATTAAATCAACTGTTACAGGGTAAATTGTTACGTATAAGCTGACGTGGGTAATATATGTGCCACTAGCAACACATAAATAAAAGATTATTAACTAGATAATTACATTTTCTGAAGAATATGTGGGTGTGTACGCCTTCGCAATGTGTTGTAGATCAGCAATTTACTATTTTTTTTCTCCCACAGTTGAACCCCTAACCTAATTTTTTTTATTGAAGTACATAAAAACCACATGTGATTTAATATTTTAAAGTTAATATTTCAATCCTTTAACAACACATTCATGTTCATGGTTCTCTGATGTCGGTAATTGTCACTTGACATGTTGCCAGGTAAGCAAATAAAATATTTCATCAAATATTATCAAATACATATATGTATATCTTTTTTCAAATTAATTAATTTTACTTTTACATTTCTATGATTTCACTTTTCATAAACTCCCTGCAGTTCCCACCCCAGTTTGGAAAACTTCAGGCTTATTATTGTTAACTAAACCATAAAAAAAATGTGTTACTCGAAAATAAAATAAAAAACAAATGTTAACTTTAATAATAATAATAATAATAATAATAATAATAAAACATTTATTTCAGCTAGTTGCAAGGGCAAACTTTCATTTTCATTTAGTTTAACTTGAATACTAAAATGACTAAAACTAAACGAACTAAAATAAATAAAAATAATAGAGAAGGGGGAAAAAAACTAATAAATGACAAAAACAACAAAATTAATAAAACTTTAAAATGAAAGTGAAAACAATATATAATAATAAAATCTAATTCTAAATATTTAATAAAAATATAATAGTATATCAGTGATATACTGGGTGCTTTCTTACTACTTTCTAACTACACTCTCTTACTACACTGTAGCTTTTCTTACCTTATCAACACCAGCGCTTAGGATAAAGTTTCCTTTTTTGTTCCATTTTAATGCGAATATTGGACCTTTATGTTGACCCAAGGTACTGGCCAGATTACCTGTGAATGAACATTTGTCAGTCTGCTGAAAGGAATGACAGAGAAAAGCATGTTGGCAAAGAAGGCAAAAAAACCTGTTTGCTTACCATCTTTAGTCCATATTCTTGCAAAGCCGTCATATGAGCCTGTGGCTAATAGTGTGCCTTCACTCTGATAAACACAAGGAGGAAATGTTAGTCTTTTAAAATACACCCAGTTTTAGACCAGAGGGAGCATGTCGGAGCTAAACTCACGTTCCAGTCTAACGATGTGACGTCTTTGTTGCTGGGCACGTCTTGGCCACCTTCCCGTATGCAGTGCCTGAGGACGAGCTGTGTAGAGCTACTACTGCTGTTCTCACTCAGATTCCAGATGCGTGCCGTTGAGTCTCCAGAGCTGCGGAGAGTCACAGTATTAAATAACATGCATTCACTGACTTCCATTTTCTACAGATGCACCACATCCACCCCCCCAAAAATGATAGCAGTGCCTGAGGACGAGCTGTGTAGAGCTACTACTGCTGTTCTCACTCAGATTCCAGATGCGTGCCGTTGAGTCTCCAGAGCTGCGGAGAGTCACAGTATTAAATAACATGCATTCACTGACTTCCATTTTCTACAGATGCACCAAATCCCCCCCCCCAAATATTGATACTGGAACAATCTTCAGCTTCTATTCTTCATCTGTTTATAATATCTATTCCACACTAGTGCTGGGTATTGACACAAATTTCAAGATTCGATTCGATTTTGATTCACAAGCATGTGATTCGATTCAACTGTGATCTCGGTTCGATTCATTTAAATATATATCAAGGTATATATCAAAGGGGGAAAAAAATCTCTCAACTATGCTGTAAACTATTAAAATTTTTTTAAAAGTTAAAATTAACAACTGATTTGTATACAAACATTTAAACTGCACATAAGGCAGTTTTTATAATAACATAATAAACTTTCAATTATATAATTGTTTCTACTCCAATTTGTTGTTGAAATATAAACATTTAAAGGTGGCTGACAAAAACTTTTTATGATGGATTTATTCAAACTTACATTACATTTTAAAGAGCAGATATAAAGTTGATATTTTATTTAATATTAAAAGTAACAAGGCGCAAAGCTTATGGCGATTTTAAAAATATATTTATAACACTCTTCGGTATTTATAATAAAAATTAAAAACTACAAATTACAACGTGTTACTAGAATGCTAGAGTTGCTGGAGTGTCCTTTCTGTAGCTTGATAGTGATGCCTATGACTAACCCAGAGTACTGAATCTGAATCTGTCACATCTGATGCCAATCCATTTTAAAAGGTCAATATTAGTGCAGCATGTACTCAGCGTGGATGAACGACTGAATGGATTCAGTGACGAAAAGAGTCAGAAGACAAGCGGACTGTATAACTGACCCGGAGGCGAGCAGGTCACTGACGGGGTTCCAGGCGCAGATGAAGACCTCCGACTCGTGACCCCTCAGCACCATGGCTTTATTCTGAGGGATCTCCACATCCACGTCCACGTCCATCATGTCTGCATGGTTATCTGTAAAGATAGATGGTCGTGAGGACTTACACTGACTAACACACAGGTGTCACATGACATTCATCATTGAGAGAAAACATAACAGTTCTTTGATTCACAGCCGCAGTACATAACTGAAAGCTACAACATTCACACCATTATGTGACATTTTCAGGAAGTAATGGGGAAAAAATTGTTATGAACAATGATAAGCAGAGTAAAGTGACTCACTAGGTAAGGCGTGAGCACCGTTCTCCTCTCCGTTTGCGGTGTTTTCTCCGTTTTTGGTGTTACCCTGCATGTTGGTGCTGGTTGCCGAGGGCGCTGTGGCGGCCTGTTGCTGGGCGAGTTTGTCTCGGTACGCCTGCTGCCGGGTCTGTACGACATCTGGCATCACCGCGTCAATCAATGACAAAGACTCAATCGGTCGCCCATCGAACAGCGTGCCGTCCTGTGGACAGGAGTCAACATGTCAGTCGTGCACTCAATTTGACGTCAACAGGATTTTTGCATCATAACAAATAGCATTATCTGGCTCAATCTCATGAAAACATATCCAGGATGCATTTCCCCTCACAATCAAAAGAATAATACAAGAAATTATATTTTTGCATTATGAATATGAAGCCTATTTTTTAAACCACCAGGACTTTTGTCATTAATATCACAAAGCAAATACTAAATTAAGCATAAAACAATTACAATAATTCAAATGTAAAATATTTATTGTATATTAATATAATAATAGTAATAATAATACAATTTTAAATATTAAAATGACAAAGAACAACAAAATTACTAACTTTAAAATTAAAATCGAATATATAGAAATAAAAACTTATTCTAAATATTACTATAACATGTTACGGAATATAACTATAACAACTATACTAGTAGCTTTACTATTTCTATTTTTATATGTGGCACAAACATATAAAACTAAAAATTACCAAAACTAACTCAAATTAAAATGACAGTTATATATATATATATATAGTTACATTTAGTGTATATTACATATTATCAAATAAATATATATATAAAGAGAATATAGTTTTTATAGTAATATTTAGTTATATATATATATATATACATACATACATTTAATAATATGCACGATACAATAAACATCATTAAAATATATCATGTTTTGTGAGATTCACCTAATTAAGATTCATGTAAAAATTCATCTAATAGTAAGTATTAAATATGCAAATGCGACTGTTAATTTAAAAAAAAAATCCTTGATGCAGATAAATGTAGGCGCCTTGATTGATTTTGTAAATAACGCTGTGCTCTCACCTCATTGATGCTGACTTCAGCCTCCACGTACTGCAGGCCCTTCTGGATGATGGAGATCAGGGCAGCAGGGGGCACTAGGGCGCCGTTGATGTTAGACTGACTGATGTGGCTCTCAATGCCGAATGTGAAGGCCGAGTGGGAAAACCCTGCCAGAGGGAATGATAAACACTTAAGTGTGACGCTTGCTGGATCAACTTTCTCTCCAGCTCACGGCTATGAGAGTATCATGTGTGTGTGTGTGTTCATTTAAACAACATCCTGTGAACAGTCACAGTGTTTTACTGTAATCAACGCTGATAACAGATTATATCCCAAAACTCAAATGAAGGAAATATTACTGACAGATACGTTTACATATCTGCGATTAATCTCCAATAGAGAGTAAAAGTAATAGTCTAAATAGTAATTTCTTCAAGACATGTAGACAGTTTTGATTACACGTTGAGATATTTTGGTCATTTTTGGACCAAAAACCAGTCATTATTAACCATGATTGGTTACACAAAAGCTGTGTAACAGTCGTTTTGGATACAATTGTGGAGTGTTGATTTGGGCTGTTTCGATTAAGCAGCACCTACCCGACTCCTGCAGGTATCTATACACCAGGAAGTTGACCTCATCGCTGCTAATACTCATCTTCACATCTGCTTACACCATGAGGTCAGCACACAGGACACTAGCATGAGAAAGAAAGGACAAAAACAATATCAGAAAGCCAGCTCACAGAATGTACACTAAAAACGGCAACAGAATAGATATGGACATTGCCAGGCTCTCTGCCTTTCACTCAGAGGGTGTATAAAAAGCCTCTTTTACAGTGCAATAAGGGGGTAAAAGCTATCTTTGTCAGCAGGAACCTGAGTGTGTACTATGCTGCCAGAGGTTACCAAGGGCTTCACAGCCCCGCATGGCTGAATAACAAGTTGTAGTACCAAAAGTGGCCATTACATTGTGGGGGCGCTGTTGCACCAACACTACAGAGCAGTAAAGGCATCTCCCACTGAAAATGTTTACACGAGGCTACTACAAAACACTTCTGTTTACTTGAGTTTGACAGTTGGATTCATTGTGACTTTGGCTTTACAGAGCTGCCAAAATGTCAGTTTACACCTAAAGATTTTTTTTAGCACAGGAACTTTTACTTGCAATTAAACCTGACCTAGATTTGACACTCTCTAAAGTTAAATAGCGATTTAAAGCAGACAAATGACACATTCACATACATTTTAGGGTGGTTTATTCAAATAATATCTCACGCTTGCTCTATATTAAGCCACAATTTCAAGACGTCCGCTCAGCTTTGGACTTCCTCCAGAAAAGAGCATCAGCGAGCACAAACATATTTTCAGTTCCACATTGAAATGCTGCATAACCACAAGTGGGCTAATTTTGAAAAGTGACCCATTTCCTCATGACCCCATGAAATTAGGTAAAATGGTAAAAAATAATGGTAAAAGTCCACCATTCCAGATCACATCCTCATTATACAGAGAAGTGAAGTGGAAAGTGTTTCCCCGTCACTGGGCATATGTGGGATGTGGTTGGTTTGTGAGAGGGATGGCTTTCGTCTCCTCCTTGGGTTCTTGCTCGTGAACGGTTTTTGAGCGATGGGGTTTCATTCTATTTCTAGACGGTGCCGTCGTGTGATGTAACACCTACCTGCTCCCTTCTTAACAGACTACAGCTTGTTTTTGAGCAACATTTAGCTTGCTAATGAATGCTCAATTAGCTGGCTGGACTTCTCGAACATTAGAGTCGCCTGTCTTGCGTTCCCTTCATAAAATATGCAAAAGTATGCAAATAGGAACATAATCAAAAGGCAGTGTGTCAAGGCCAATCAGATAACAGAGATACTGCGGCGTCCAATCAAATCAGGTAGAAACGGTGCCACCGGATCGATGCGTTTTATCTCACAGCACAGCCGAATTAAATCCCTGCAACAGTGCAGAGTGCTCATCTATATTATCGAGCGGCTGAGTCAATACTGAGGAGGACCGCTACCTTCCAATAAATCACCCGTGCTCTTCAGGACCACCTAGCCTGTAAAACAGAACAGGGAACTCCAGGCATTTACAGTCGGCAACATTAGTTCAAGTAAAGAAACCACGGGTAGGGAAATTCCCTCGTAGACGTGACACAGAAAGAGCTTTTATTGAAACGGGTCACGGCAAACAGGGACCTCCGTGAGATATATCGCCATCTGCACCTCGTAAATCGCCCTCAGGAATGCAAATATCACGATTCGTTCTCTGCCTTGGATGACATTTTGGTGCGCTGGCGGATGCTTAGTGTGTAGCGTAATCTTCATTGTATAATCAAAGGCGGCAAGGGTTGCGTAACAGTGGAGTGCACGCAGTCGGGGTGAGGGAGTTTGTACTGTGTTATTCCAGGCTGAAAGGGAAGTCTGAGAGGAAATGCTATTTAACTGGTTTGGGTGAAAGGTGTAACGGCCGGCTATCAAGTTACGGACTGATAACAGGCCACTTTTTAGCAATAATTTCAAAGAAGGCCATGCAGAATGAATCAGAAATGGTGAAGAAGTTATTTTCCTGCTGATTTAAAGCAATTAAACGTTCAAATAAGAGTAACTTAAAAAAAAACTCTGTGAGTTCTACTTATGTGTTTATTCACATTTAACGATTCTGGTTATAAAAACTTTTATACTACTTAAAATAAAATTATCAAGTAGCATAACCAAGTAAATATTTTGTACGCATCTTTGTTATTATTTTCAAGAAAACTATTTTAAAAATTGTTTTCAAGATAATAATTATTATATATATATTTTTTTTTTTACAAATATCATGAATTATTAAATCATAAATTGATAAACCAGAAATCGCAAAAAATATTAGCTTCTTTATTAAATCTAAATATTGTTATTGTTGTTATTATTGTTATTATTATTATTATCAACAATATAAATAAAAAAAATCTATTTAATGACTGTACAAATGTCATGTGGTGTAACCAAGTAAAAAACATGTTGTACACATCTTAATTTAAAAAAAGTCATTTTAATTTTAAATATAATTAATAATAATAATAGTTAACATTGATAACAATATAAATAAAAAAAATCTATTTAATGACTGTACAAATGTCATGTGGTGTAACCAAGTAAAAAACATGTTGTACACATCTTAATTTAAAAAAAGTCATTTTAATTTTAAATATAATTAATAATAATAATAGTTAACATTGATAACAATATAAATAAAAAAAATCTATTTAATGACTGTACAAATGTCATGTGGTGTAACCAAGTAAAAAACATGTTGTACACATCTTAATTTAAAAAAAGTCATTTTAATTTTAAATATAATTAATAATAATAATAGTTAACATTGATAACAATATAAATAAAAAAGTGTAATGACTGTACAAATGTCATGTGGTGTAACAAAGAAAAAATTTATTTCTGGAAAAAAAAAAATATATATATATATATATAT